CTCAAGGGCCGGTAACCTTTCCTCACCCTGCAAGAACCAAAAGCACTGACTACTGGAAAACTGGAAAAACAGAGTGCTGTGGTGTGAACCTAGGTGTCTCCCCAAAAGCAGTCATAAGTAGGCCTTTTCAGAGGTGGCTGAGTCTGGCTCGTGTGATGCTGGGATTAAGGACGTGTGATTGGTATGTCATCGCCCTAATTCCAGTAGCCTGGATGCAAGTTAAGGGACAGAAAGAGGCTTGTCCTTCGCTTGTTTTGCTACCTTCTGCTTGCCAGGAGCTGTTTTTCCTCTGCGATGTCCCTCGTGCTTGCTGCCCCTGCCTTGGAACCAGCTGACTGTGAACTGAAACCTCCCTAACCATCGGCCAAGTAAACCTTCCCTCCCTTAATTTTGGGTGTTGGGTACTTTGTCTCGGCAACAAGAAAAATATCTAAGACACAGAAAATGTATATAGTAGAGATTTTGTAATTCCTAAAATGTTAGTATAATCCTATATTTTTCCAATATCTACTTTTAAATCAGGAATTTATATCGATATTTTCTTTATTTAGTTGGATACACTATAGCAGTAAATTAAGCATTTTGATAAATATATTTACCAAAAGAATGTAGTACAATATACTTCAAAGAAAAGTGTTTTTTAATTATATACTTATCTTTGTATATGCATTGAGTTAAAGCTCCTATAGAGATGGCTTATCTAGGTTGCCTTATAATGTTAATACCAAAATAGCTCTCTCCATGCAGCTAGATTTTTAAAAAAACTCTTGTTTCACAGATAAGAATACGGCTGCCCACATGTGCTCACACTGGATCAAACTACACTTTGTTGTACTTTATATTTGCGGCTGACATGAAATATTTGAACACACAAAAGTGTGTTCAAACAGTAAAAGTGTTTGAAAAGCACTCCCCAAGAGTGCACTTTTCTCTCACATAGATAAGTAGGAGCATTTCTAATTTTAGTTAGCAGTAGTAATTTAAACTCATTGAAAATACAAATTTTATTCTTTAGGGCTTAAAAATGTTTTTTGAAACATGTTTCTGTTGCTCACATTGAAATTGCTTTGATTCAAATAAAATTAAAATGTATTCATATTAATAGAAAACTAACCATATTTTAGGGACACATGTAAAAGTTCCCCATCCTTTTAAATGGTGCAAGATGAATATTTTAGAGTAAATATATTTGTGTTGGTAGTGGAGGGATTTGCCATGGCTTTTCAATGAAAACTATGGCAATTAATTATTTCAAGGCAGTATAACAATATATTGAGAAAAAGTAACGTTTTACAAATTGAAACCAGTTGACATATTATAAACTGAAAAGGGAATTAATAATGACACAAATTTTGTTATATTAGGCCTGTGTACCTTGTATGAAGTCTGCGTAGTAAAATTCATCATGATAGTTACCTCGTAGTGGCTATTAATAAGACTGTTCACTACTTGAACTGATTGCTAGTGTTTTCTAAAATAGCCTGGTCATAGCAGTGTTTTCAAGATTGGAGTAGTTTGCTCAGGTAGAAGAAGACTAATCCACATTATGACTGCTTGTGTTTCGTTAAGGAAGAGATTCAATATCTCATTCTTGGTTTGGGTGCCCCTGTAACAGATGCCTAATGTTGATCACCTAATGTTGGAGAATTTTCTTTGAGTGCGCCATCTTGTGTTGATATTTTGAACTCTTAAATAAAATATGAATGTCACATAGTTTCTCTTCTATGAGAAAACTAAACTATAAATAATCTTTAAAAATAAAGGAGAGATGATAGGAAATAAAACACAGACTTTTAGTAGATGGAAGTGTAAAAGGATCAAAGTATTTTATGTACATATAAAATATACATATATACAAAAATGTGTTACGTATATATAAAACATGTGTTATACCATTACCTAATGGGACAGTAACAGCCTTCTAAATAAACACATACAATAATTACAATAAATTAATATTAATAACAATAAGGTCTTTTATGTAGAAAATATGGATAAACAAGACTGCTATTACAAAACAAACATAAATGTACAATTTTTAAACTTTTTTTTGATACAAAATCTTGCTATATAGGCCAGAAGTTTACTGTATAGCTTAGGCTGGCCTTGAACTCACGGCAGTCTTCTTGCCTCAGCCTCTTGAAGTCCTGGGAGTCACATGACAGGCTCAGATTTGAATTAGTTTACATTATATATCTTGATTGTTTCTTGGACATGCTGAAGACTGAACAAAATGTGTAGAATTGTTACTTTAAATGTTCATTACGGTTTAGTTAGTATGACAGTATGGTAAATAAATTGATGGCCACACTATTACTTTTGTAGTTGCTACATTAAAAAGAAGGAATGACAAAATTACAATAAGAATATAATGTATATTATACTTTTCATTTTTCTCTATGGTAGCCAAATGTTTTGTTTTTCCAAAAGGTAGTTTTCTAGCTTGCCAAATTTCTGCTTGATTTCTTTCTCCCAACTGTTGTAGCATCAGAATATTTCAAGAAGTCTGCCTTTTGCATTCAAATATGGGGAAAAGAGCTGTTTCAAACCAAAAATTTACAAAAAAGAAAAGTTTTGATGTAATCATCATGTCATAATTTCATCATAAGAATGCAGGTTTATATATGAAGACTTTGGTTTGATGCCTAGCATCAGATACAAAAAAGCAGTTTTCTTAGTTAAAATAATGAATCAAATTATTATGGATCACTTAGAATAAGTCAGGATGTCCATAGGGTTGATGGTGATACTGTTCTTATAGATACATATAGGAACAAATATATCATAATTTTCTCTTTGTATTTTAAAAATATTTGGATTAATCTTCAAATGTAGTATAGTGTTTTATTTTTGTTTTAAACAATTTGGCTGGGCATGTAGCTCAGTGGCACAGCACCAGTTTGCCAAGTGCAAGGTCCTGAGTTTGATTCCCAGTATAAAAAAACAAAACCAAAACAAAATAAAAAAACCCACAAGAACAATTTGGTACCAAAAAATAGCTTCTATTATTATATTTCCTGGTGAGTATGTGTCTGTTTATATGCATGTGTTTTAGATAGATAGATAGATAGATAGATAGATAGATAGATAGACAAGACATATGATTACAAAGTAAGTATAGCTGATTATTCATGAGTCAAATAAAATTAATCGTTATCTATGTTACTCAGTAAGACTTCCTTGATTTAGCTTTGAGGTTGAGGGTTAGATTTTAGTAATGAAAAAGTGATGAATTATTAGGACAAGACAGTTACTCAAAACAAAGCGCCTTCCATATCTCTGTTGTATATGTCAGTGAACTTTGGGTAGCTGTGCACAAACATGTCCTAGAAGCCTTTATGAATTTTAAGGCTTTTCTCTCTTCCTCTCTGTTGTGTACAGTTTTTCTTGTTCGTATACAGTTTGTACAAGTTCACACATCATTATGTTTGAAACCATTGAAATTTTCAGTAGGCGGTTGTTAGTGTTACTTCAGATCATACAAAGTTTTGTGCCCCAGAAAGTGAACAGAAGACAAGGAGAGTGAGGTCATGTAGTTGCCCATGCACACACACACACACACACACACACACACACACACAGAGTAGAAGATGTAAGTGAGAAGTAAAATGGTAGAAGTCAAGCAATTTGAAGTCTGTATATCCAAGCATGTATGGCTTGTTAGTCTAGATGGAGAGTTTTCTCTAATTTCTCCTCAGTTCTAACATTTCTGTAAAGAAATCAGACTACACCTTTATTTATTATTTATTTTTATTTTAAAGAGATTAAAACAAAGCACAACAAAAGAAAACAAACCAAATCAGAACAGAATAATGCAAGTGACAGGATTTCAAAGCAAGACAACAGGAGATCAACAGTGGCTACCATAATGTCTCTTGTTTTCTTCAAAATAGCGGTCTATGCCTTCATATATATTGAAGTTAAATAACACAAAACCAATCTAAACAAAGAGTAAGAACAGACTACACTTTAAGCCTGATAAAGGAAGTAGATCAATACCTTCCTCCTCCTCACTTCCCTCCCCCAGTCCTTCCCTTCACTTTGTCCCCCTTTCTCTTCTTTCTCCTCTTCCCCCTCCTCTTCCTCCTCTTTCTCTTTCCCCTCTTCCTCCTCCTCCTCCTCTTGTTTTTCTAAAATTCTGTTTAGGGGAGAGCCAACTAGAAATCTTTGTGGTTAGTCAGGATGTTTATCCATAAAGCCACACATATAGACCTGTTCTGAACATAAAATGTGGTCAGGAGGGAGCTGTGCTTCCCCACTTGCTGAGCACAGACCAGGCCATCCTCCAAAAGCCGTGGCCGTGGGAGCAGTGGCACTAACAAATGCCTTTCGTCCGCTGTGTAGAGGCACCATGGATTGCGTCACGTTAGGCTTCATCAGCTACCTAATGCAATGTAACTGGGAGATAAAATAAATCAGAAGGATGACATTATATTAGACTTGAAAGATGAGAGCGCTTCCAAAGTAATTGCAGAATGTGTATTTCAGGGCTGTCGACTTCAGGAGGTTATTGAAGTCAAAAATTTTTGCAACAAAATAAGTCTTTCAAGAGGCGGGTAGCAAGTAAGCAGAATCATGCCTATTTTGTCAAAACAAATTTCTTAGGAAAAAGTAGAATTCTCCATATATGTTTGTTTTATATAGCTTTTGTGTTTAACCTCATTTTTACTATATCACCAGCTTTAGTACTTGTATTTTTTCAAGTGGTTGCATGTGCAGCTGTATAATAAACAAGAGAGAGAATTTTTCGTGTTTTGGGTAGCTTTGTATATTGCTAGATTGTGCTGAGTATAATGGATCCTTTCTTATCATATTTGTGACTCTGTATTATTAACTGGCTCTTTACTGTTACCAGAATTTCCTTTGAATTTAAAAAATGGCATATTTTATTCCCCCTTCTAAAACATTTGAGTGTTTGGTTTATTATGTGGGAAGTTACACATCTAATCTAGAAACTGAGACTGGAAACACATCTGCAATGATTTCCATTTCTTTTGCAGCCTACCGTGTGTGAGCGAGAGCTGTGTGTGTTTGCTTTCCAAACGCTGGGCGTGATGAACGAAGCTGCTGATGAAATAGCAACTGGAGCTCAGGTACTTCTAACACCTGACACTGTTCCTTGCTTATTTGGGCTTGAAAATTTTGTTCCAGTCCCATAGTGACCTTCACGGTACTATTCCTTGGGGAAAGTTTGTGATAGTTTCTTATTAAAGATGAGCTGGCATTTGATATTTTTAAGACGTAAAGTAAATGTTCTCTCTGTATCTAATGTGTGTCTTGTCGTCTTGCAGTTGCCAAAGGGAAGAAATTAAATCAAGTTTCTTCAGTTTTAAAGATACTTTAATTCTTTTTTATATGATAAAGTTAATACTGGAACACTTGTACATGTTTTGTGTAAGGTGTATTTGTAAAGTTACGCTGCCATGAAATGGAAGTCAATTTACTTTTAAAACTTAGGTGAGAAGATAATGGGCAAAACAATAATAGAAAGAGAACATTCAGTTTTGCAGCAGCAGTAGTTATAAGATAGAAAGAAAGATATAAAACCTAATAAGGAATCAGCTTAGGCATACAGAAACATGCCATGTTTCTGGAAAGGAAAAAATAAAAGATGCTAAAATTTATTACTTCATACAATTCCACCATAATTTTTTTTGTTGTTTTTTGGTTATGTAAGCAGCTTGACTGAATCACTAAGTTATCTACATAAAAAGTAGTATTACTTAAAAGTTGTTAGTTAACGATGTACACAATTATATTATACAATACCGTAACAATTGTTATATAGGGCCTGGTAAGCACAAGGCCCTGAGTTTGATTCCCAGTACCTGAATAAAAAATAAAAAGTAAAAAAAGAATTGTTTGATAAGTGAGATAGAAACAAGAGTCCACAGTATGGGAAGATGTCATTTTGGCTTTCTGTCTTACGCTGGGTACCAAAACAAAGGAAAGTAGTATTCATATTAGATGAGGGTACAACTGAGCATGCCCAGCCCGAAGCCGCGTTTCACGTTATGCATTTGTGTAGTTATGGAAAAATACCAGATTTCATGCTTATGCTTTCCACTTGAAAAAACAGTGACTCTTAGGAACGACATAGGAGACAAAGCTTTTGCAACAATTATATAAAATCATAATTACATGGAAGCTCAGAAATTGAGAAGAAAAATATTGCCATAGCAGACTGACAGAGAAAATAATGCAAATTCAAAAAGAAAGAAAGAAAAAAAAAAAGACATCTACTATGAACAGTAAAAAGTAAAGGCAAAAGAAATTGTCAGTCTCTAATTTATAAAATTCACAAAGGTGGGTAGGAAAAATGATTGTACAGGGGGTGTGCTGTTATCTTTCAGCAAGTATAGAAGCCTGCTGTGTAACAGGCCTTTTGGTAGGTGTGACATAGTGGTTAATATAGACAGGGTAGACCTTGTGAACTTACGTGGCGTTTAACCTACTCATTTCACTGTTTAACTATGATGCATCTACTGCATGAACTCCTAAGAACGGTATTTTTGGTATAATGAATGACAAATGAAAGATAGTATCAACAGTAGACTAGAATGATCTTGGTGTTATGGAAAAAAGTATTTCATAATTAAAACAAACTTCCAAGCTGGCTGTGGTGGTATACACCTGTAATCCCATAAAGAGGATCATCACCAGTTCGAAGCCAGCCTGGAATACATGTAAGTTCAAGGCCAGCCTGAACTACATAGCAAATCCCTATGTAAAAAACCAATAAAATGATAACATTCAGTAATATAGTTGATGTATTCCCTGTATATCCCACAGGTACACATTTGCATATTAAAGATTACAAGTATCCTTAAAGGAAAATAGCTAGTCTACCCTTGAAGAGTTTTTCCCCGTTGACTTTGGGGAGCCTTTTTCTTCTTTTTTTTAAAAAAATATTTTAATGTGAAAGTTTTTCTGATCCCTTGGAAGCAGTGTTGCTCAAAATTAAAGACTTTCATATATGCTACATTTATAGCTGTATAAAAATAATTAAAACTTGTCCAAGTATGTATGTGGCGCGTGTGAAACATGTATATGCACTAGATATATGTGTATTGTGTTCATATACGTTAAAATTTTTCAAGTAGTACACTTAAAATCTGTACATTTTGTTAGATGTAAATTCTTCCTTAAGTAAACCAGTTAAAATCTAGAAATAGCAAATAATTAATTAGAAAATTAAGACATCTTAACCTTAGTGTAGTTAAATAGAATAATAGGTGTTTTTCTCCCTCTTATCATTACATCTCTAAAAACAGTGGTTCTAGCATAGAAATGAATTTGGAATTACCTAGTGATAGTTATGCCCTAAATACTTGGTCAGATCAATTTAGTGATTTAGCTATAAAGATCAGTATCCAAGTGTCAGTGAATTTATTCTGCTTCAAAAAGAACATTCTTCTCTTTCCTTTGGTTTTAATACAAGTCCTACTTCAGCATTTTACCTGGAAACTATTTTCTCTAAACAGAATCTGTCCCCCAGTAGATTCTTTGAATGAGTTGACCCTACAGCACCATCATCCTCAGGCCAGCTGTAGGGGAATGAGCATGTCCTGCTTCCGTTCCAGGCTCCTAACACTCCCACAGCCAGAAGGGCTCCATTGTATTTGTTTAGGTACTGGGCTCACCTATGAGATTTAAAAATAAGGAGTCAGTAATACCATATGTATCAGCTGTTGCTTTATGATTGTAAATGTGCTTTTTGTCAGATTATGTTGTGTATCTGTAGGCAGAACACCTTACTTAAATCCATCGTGAAAATATTACCACACAAATATATGGCATAAGCCTTCATTTGCATACCAGCATATACTTTTTAAAGGTTTTTATAAGTTTGTATCCATCTATGCTGCTATGCCCCGTCTCCCAAAGGTTTGGACAAGAGGATTTTACCTTACTGGTTTACTTCCTTAGGAATTCTTGTTTGCATTTTAATTTCATTAGGAGAGTAGATAATACGGTAAACAGTTTGAGTTAAGGTTCATCTCTGTGGGATAGAAGGAATATGAGTGTGGGGCAGGAGAACTGAAAGGAGAAAAAGATTTGTTTCTTTTCATTATATATATATATTTTTTTTCATTATATGTTTTTAAAAAAATTTTATTTTAAAGAGATTTTTCATTATATTTGTTCCTTCAAGTGTAACTTACTCTATACATGTATACATGTGCACACACACATGTGTATGCATACACCCACCTAAATGGAAATGTGTATCAGAAAGCAATGCCTATTGCAGTTCCAGCTTCTGCAGGCAGCTCTGAGTCTTGTGAATATATGTGTCTGCCCTTGGGATGTCTCCAATGTTGCTAATTAAATTAGGGCATTGGAAATTTGAGATGTTGTGATTGGGTGGGTGTGCTCTGTAAGTACTGTGACAACATAGCCTTATTGACATTAGATAACAGTGTCCCTCTTGTAAACTCAGAAGAACCAGCAATTTGCTGTGTATTTTTTTAAATGCTCATTTTAGAACTTCCTAGAAATAGCTTTCCATTTTGTGTCCACACTGTAGTTACATTTGTGCAGGTGAATGCTCTCCAAACAGTATCAGATTTCTTGATTCAATTACCAGAAATAAGAGTGTTTTGGCCTTCAGGTGGGGAGCCAGATTTGCCAATTTGTAGTTCTGCCCCATAATAAACTGTGCAGAGTGAGCATAAGATAACTAACACAGGTATAAAGAAAGCTATGTATTTAGAAACCAACAGTCATTAGTGGACTTTGACACACTGGAGTAGGAAGAGGCTGGATGATGTCAGGTGATTTGCTATTCTCGGAGAAGGCCAAATTCTTTCCTGCACATGTGGCTTCCTTTGTCTTCCCCATATCATAGTGCATTACCCTCCCTGACTTCACTCAGGTCTTGAGATATCACCATCGACCCAACCACTCTCAGACAGTATTTCCTCCTGCATAATTCTCTAATATCTATTTTTATTTTATTTTATTTATTTTATTTTTGTCTTTTTGAGACAGGATCTTACTATGCAGTTCAGGCTAACCTTGAGCTCACTTTGTAGCCCAAGCTGGTCTCACACTTGAAATGATCTTCCTGTCTCACCCTCCTAAATTCTGAGATTAACAGGGTGCGCCACCACTCCTGGCTTGTACCTATTTTTATAGCACTGAACGGTACCAAAATTCTATTGAAAAATATATTCACACAATACTTTGTTATGTACCTTCTTCTTTGCCCTGTACCCACCACCCAAGCTCAGACTTTTCTCTTATTTCTTATTTTATTGTGGGACCCTAGAACAGTGCTTAGCCCATCATAGGGACCTATTACAAGGAGATATTAGCAGATGAGGGGCTGGGGATTTAGCTCAGCGGCATAAGCGCCTGCCTTGCAAGCAGGTAGTCGTGAGTTCTATCCCTGGTACCAATAAAAACGAAAAAGACAAAAAAAAAGAGAGAGAGAGAGAGAGAGATTAGCAGATGAGTAATTCAAGGCAGCGATTCGTTGAAACTTTGAGTTAGTTTTGAGCACATTTAGCCATGGGTTACAGAATCAAGAGACTGCAGTAGTTCTGGTGCTGCTGGTTAACTTACACTACCATGAGAGAGGGGCGGACAGTGGGAAATTGGATAAAACACAAGCACTATCCTTTGTGTTTCCAGGTGGTAGATTTACTGGTGTCCATGTGTAGATCTGCATTGGAATCTCCTAGAAAAGTTGTCATTTTCGAGCCATATCCTTCTGTGGTAGATCCTAATGATCCTCAGATGCTGGCCTTTAACCCCAGGGTAAGTAGCTGTCTGCAGGCGAATGCAGCATTTCCAATCATAGTAATTGAGATTTTAGACTCATTACTAGCTTTGTTCTTTTTACCTCAATGTCTCTCATTAAGCGTATCCATGTTTATTTTAAGTCCATTGTCTGCTTTCTTGAGTTTCAAATTTGAACTTCACTGGCTACGAGAAAAAGAACGCATTTTCCTTCTGGTTTGCTGTGTTCACTTCACTCCCTGTTTTTCCTTCCCGGTTTCCTCCCCAGATACCTGGAGGTTAGTGAAAGTTGAATTGATGTTCTTAATAGACTGGCATTTCTTCAGAAAATCATTATAGGTATTTGTGAGGCTAAGGCAAATCCTTCAGAAATAAAATTTTCAGATTTCACAAGAATTATATTAGTTTATATTCTTATTCATGTTTAAACCATTCCAGAGATAGGAGTGTGTAATATTCACCAGCAGAGCTTCATTTTGCTCTTAAGTGGTAGAATGCCCATGTTTACACCATGTTTAGATCCTTGTGGAGTGCCTGGTATCATGTGTATACAGTCACTGCATGCTTTTCATAACAATACTGTATTTCAGTCAAAACAAAAGGAGTGCTGTTGAGATTTTTTAATTAGATTTTTGTATTTTAGAAGGATTTAAAGCTTACTCTACTGCCTACTGTTTTAGTAGTAAAGCCTAAATCAAAAGGCCAGTGCCTTGTTTGTGTTTCTAAATTTTCTTTTGGTACAGGGAACATGCTTTTGTGTCCTTATATAAGAAATGGCTTTGTTTTTTCTCCCCATCTCACTGTAGTTATAAATCCTGTGTCTTTGAACCATGTTACTACGGTCTTTCCTTTTCTGTACATAAAACAGCCATCGCTTTCACATTGACTTTGGTGGAAAATTCATGTATCGAAGTAATATATTTCTCTACTGGTAAGTAGACTCGCAAGGGCTCATAAGTGAATATTCTTCTTTTTTTCATTATGTAGAAGAAGAACTATGATCGAGTAATGAAAGCACTGGATAGCATAACTTCCATCAGAGAAATGACACAAGTAAGTGTCACCTTGGTGTCTTGTTCTGTATACTTTGCTTGTTTAAAATCATATTTTAAAAATGTCCAGGAGTACTGGTTTTGTAGTGAAATATAGATTTTCTGTTATGTAGAACATAATTAAAATTGTGAAAGAATGATGCTCTGTTAGGGTGCTTTGATTAAGTTCTGTGAGCGTATTGACCTGCCAGCACTGGTTAGCCTGGAAGGAGGTGGGTGATTCTAACTAATACTCAAACTCAGACAAGCACAGTGAGCCCACGTAACTATATTAAGATATTTTGCATACAAGGCTAAATCTAGTGTCATTGCCCTGTTAGGTCAGTTTTAATTAGTGGTAATCATTTTAAAACATTATTTTAATGTTAAAATACAAATAGTAATGTTCTTTATGACAGAAATTTTGGGTGTTTTAGATATAACAGAATCTAAAACTATATTATAATATACCAGACATTCTAAGAATATGAATTTATATTTCTTTTTTTAATTTAAGAGATAAAAGACACAGAAAGAAAAACAAAAAGCGAAAGAGACAAACTACAACAAACCCAAAATAATAGTATAGGCTTTCAAATCAAGATGGTAGGAATTTAACAATGGTTATTATATTGTATATTGTTATCTTCAAAAGGATTGGGGTTGCTTGGATTGCCAGATATAGAGATGTAAAATTGATCTAATCATATGAGTATTGATTAATTAATTATTAATTAGTTCTTTTCAAAGAACTAATAGAATTAGTAGTATAGTCATCTTAGCTAATTTATGTGTGTGTATACATATATATATATATATATATATATATTCACAAGTTTATGCCTTTTTCCTTTTTCCCTTCTTTCTTTCCTCCTTTCCCTTATTATATTTCTGATTATTAGGGAAGCTTTGGTGGTTTGATGAGCAAACTTTAAGGTTGATCATCAGATTCTGACATCCTTGCACTGTAGTCCAACGTTTAGGCAGGCATGTACTACTGATCACTGAACTTCCTTTCGCTAGTAGAGGTTTGGAGAGAGGTTTAAAACACATCTCTGCCCGTGATCCAGCGTGCAGGACGACAGATGTGGTGTAGACAGTTGTGTGTGTGTCTGCGTTAGGGATCACCCTCATGTGACACATGTTACTCTAGGCCATTTAGTTTCCCTAGGGAGGAGTGAGGGCCTTCTTCTCCCCCAGCGCTTACTAAGCTTCCGCACTCCCCATTTTGTCACTCAGTGTCACCCCAGTGCTCTGTTTGAAGACATTTCTCAAAAATCACATCCTCCCGTTTCTAATTTTGATTCTTGATTTTTTGGATCATTGTTTATTTTGTCAACTGTTCATCTTCATTCAACAGATAGTATGCACCAGACCACAGTCCACGTAAGGTCCTTTATTCACCAGTGGTGTTATTTACTTTAAAACCACCAGCCCTGCCATTTATTTTCCTCTGCCCATACCTTTCTCTATTAGCTAAATTCTTTTTCAAAGAGGCATTTATAGTCTGTGTAAGGAAAGGAACAATAAAATTCCAGTGAGAAGAGAGGAAAAAAAAAGAACTCACTGCAGTGTCTTACACAAAATTTAAACATTTTTAGTCAGGAAAGTGGTGTCGGGTATTTATACTATAGCCTAGACCCAGATAATTCTGGGATTTAAAAATAGCTCCCAACTTTGACTCTGGAAATCAGCTCTTTGCCAAAAATTGCTTCCTTCATTCTGGGTCATGTGTAAGCTATTTTAATAGGAGGTAGTGTAGATGGTTGAGTGTCAACCTACGAAGTTAGAGGCCAAAGTTGTATAACTGGCTCAGTGATGATGTGGCTTGTGACCTTGGACAAGTGTTGGTGCCTCGGTGTCTGCACTGCCAAAGTAGAAAAAAATAACACTGCACCTGCTTTCAGAGTGTACTTCACAGGGATGCTGTCAGCTTTTATTGTGTCAAATTCTTTAAACCTTTCCAGTACATGAATATAACTGTATCCTGTCCTATTTTCTAGATGGTTCTGCCCTATATAGCTCTAAATTGTTACAGAAAGGTTACTCTTTACTCTATAAAATGGTTAATTGTTTGGGTATGTTTCTCTTTTTAGAAAAGGGTTCTTATGTAAACTGTGCCCAGTATTCTTACTGGAGCACGAGTGATAGTTTTCACAGGTTCTTTTGTTGTTAGTTGAAGTTAAGATGGTCATTCTCAAAGAGAAGTATTACAGGACGCTTGTTCAAAGTGGCAAGATGGATTGTTTCCAGAGGACTGCAGTGGGGCAGGGGAGGGAGGCTGCAGCATGAAATAAGCTCACCTCTCCCCTAGACAAAGGGGCTTTGGGAGGTAGAAGGGAGGAAGCAAAGGGGAGAGAGATGGGAACCAGAAGAAAGGACTAGAGGAGTTAGGGGGAAGTGGGAAATTACAGACAAAGCTAAATAGAGAATTACCGCAAACACTGGAGACTGGGGTGTCTGTACAATGTGCAGTTTTTGGTTTGTCAGCATTGCATTTTCTTGAGATTTAACATAGGATGTTGGGGTTGAGGGTGGTGTTTAGGGACCCAGCCCAGTACAGGTGGAAGCCATCTACAGCGTGATTTGACTCTTAACACCATGGCAAGCGTGTCCATTGTACTACATCAAGATTACAGTTCCCATCTTCTTTGAGATGATCATTGTTTCAGCCTGAGCCCAGTGAGAGATACAGCACTGGGCGAGCCTGGATCTAGAAGGAGAAAGAAGAGGCTTGACGCCAGCCTTTCTGTGATACCCCCAAAATATTTTGCCCTCTCCCATTTCAAATAATAACTTCTGGCTTTTTTTTTATGTCAGGGCCCAAAATTTTTCATTTTAATGAGGTTAGCCATGTCAGTCTGATTTTCCTTTTGTGAAAATGGAAATATAAATGTTAAAGAGAAATCAAGGCATATAATGCGTTTTCTTTTCCCTCTAGGCACCATATCTGGAAATCAAGAAGCAGATGGATAAACAGGACCCCCTTGCACATCCCCTACTGCAATGGTATAAAAATTTAGTTTTCTCTTAATGAAAGCAGCATCTTTTTTCTACTGTGTGCTTAGCTATTGTATAAGCCCTGCTAGTGCTAAGAGCTTCTGAGACCTGGTGATTTTACAATCCAAGAGTTTCTAATGACTCTTACTTTAATTAAAACTTGTACATCACAAGGGGAAGAAAATGCTGCCGTACGCACTACCAGGGGTACACAGTGCATTCGACAGCGGTTTATCTATAGTCTTAAAAGATGTGATTAACTAGATGACATGTTGAAAGCATTTTGGTTCATTTAATTTTCTAGTTCATAGCAGACTAATCAATCCTTTTGATTTTAAAGTTGAGTTTGATTTTAAAGCTGTTTTATATATTGTGCTTCCTTAACAAAGGCAGTATAAATTTGGCAAACTCTGTCGGGTCACTGCAGATGGTGTGCGCTTTCAGAGAGAGCCTGGAGATATTGCTGGTTTGTTCTGGATTCTAGAAGCTGAGAGAGGAGGCTGAGATGCCCCTTGTTGCAATACCTGCTTCAAAATAATTTGCCCTCTCTTGCTTCACAGAATGTGGCCTCTTGTTTCTCTTGTGTAAAATGAGGGTGTTGCGGGTGTGTCTCTTTCAAAGCAACTTTGAAATGTGGTATTTACCACTGTTACCATATAAAAATACAGATATATGAATTCTGAGAGAGTGGAACAGAGGCACTTGTTACTCCAAGTTGCACCAAGAAGTTTTAACAAATGTGGGCAAAAGAAAAATAACCTGACTTCCTTGAGTTTCTGATTACTTAACTTTCACTTAGGTGATTTTTTTAAAGAGTATTTAAAAAGTAGCATATTATTGTAATACATAATAATTAGATTCATGCTGGAGAATTGTTTATGTAAGCAGGTTGCATCTTGATCAATTTCACTCCCTTTTGCCCTCAGCCCTCTTGAAATTTTATAGTATGTATTTAATCTAACAAGGCCATGATGAAAAGTAGTGTAGAAACCCTTCTTAATGTGTTATGATTATTCAGATTCTGGCACATTAAGATAGAAAGATTCAGCTTTAACTTTTTAAATTTCTCTCATCATATTTAAAAGAAACATAAGAAATCCTAATTACCTACCTCTTTTTTCCCGTGAACAGCCCCAATGTTAACCTTCATTTGTGTATCACCACCTCCTTCTGCTTGGTTAGTTACTCTCTTCTTTCAGGGAGAAGAAAATCTACCAAAGTGTTTTTCCGTTTCCTCCGCTCACTACTGTAAATACCAAAAATCCATGAAACAATTCATTCCTTCAGATACTGAATTTAATTTTTTCAAAGACATTCTCAAATAGTTAAGAATCTTCATAAGAACTCATTCTTAATGTAGGCAAGAGAGAAAAACAAAAGAAACACACGCAGGCATGAACCTGTAATATTTGTGTATATTAACATTATTTGAAAGTATTGCATATCTAGAAATGTTTATTTTGCTGATGTTGGAGGCAGTGTTTATTAAAAACTATCTTTGTAAATTTTAACAACCACTATCCAGTGCATTTTCTTGGATTAAATCATCCTGTTTGTTATATAGACTCTCTACATTGTTTCAGATAGTAAATATAAATTATGTAATGTAATGAAATTAATACTGAATTTAATTTATGGCACAGCAACAGTAGGTTTTAGTTGCTTGCCTGCTATGAAGAAAAATAAATATATTTGGCATGTATTTGTGATTGACTGATCGTTTTAATTGCAGGGTTATTTCAAGTAATAGGTCACATATTGTGAAACTGCCAGTCAACAGGGTAAGTTTTTTTCCCCCCAAAAATAAGCACAGAAATGGGAGAAGTGCTTACTAATTCAGAAAACTGATCCTTGTGATTTTTATGCAGCCTCTTCAAGAATGAAAGTAAACCCAGTTAAATCTAGCTCTTTGGTTTGAAATTGCTGTTTATAGACTAGCTCCAAACCTTTTGAAGATACCAAATTGAACCTTAAGCTACTGCCTTGCCTTTTTAAATGCATAATATCAATACGGTATAATTTAGCCATTCCACAATGATGGACTTGATCATTGATCAAAGGAAAATCAGTGTGCTTTTTAATCACTGTTTTATGTTGACACATTTCTACCTTTCCATATCTAAGATTCTAGGTAGCTCACTTATCAGCCTAATTAACTTAAAATGATAATTAAAAACAGCAAATGCACTCTGATTTCAATTATCATCATCTGGAAGTACTCCTTAGTCATCATCTGCAAGTACTGTCTGAAAACCTGTTGCCCAGTGAATCTCCAAATGTGAGATTCCTATGTTTTATATTCCTGTATATTTCTAGGTGAAAGGGAAATCATTAGAAAATTTTGTCATGCAATTAATTCAAAAGATTCTGCTTTGATTTCTTTCCATGTGCAAAGAAGAAAATTAAATACAAATATAGGTAATTTCCAGTTTTATAAATACATGCAAATAAAGCATAGTGACAATTTTTACAGTTTTAAAATCTTGAATTTTCTGCTCTTTTCTGTTTAGTAAAATCTAGACTATTTCCTCAGGCCAGGAGTTTAGCTCAGTGGCACAAGTGCCTGCCTGGCAAACGTGAGGCCATGAGTTCAATCCCTGGTACAAAAAAAAAAAAAAAAAAAAAAAAAATTTCCTCAGTTGAATAGCTAGGGGATTCAGAAATAAAATCCATAAAAAGAAATGTAATTAAGAAAGTGCATCTTTTTGACATGATCGCGTAGCACATTCCAAATCTGAACATAAGTACTTTGTATTGTATGTTTTATTTCATTCCCATTAACCTGGAAAGTTGTCCTTTGCACTAGCAATTTCAAATGATCAGGTATTCAGAGTTCAAACATATATTGAATTAGCCTGTTAATAGATTAGTGTCAAATTAATATATTTTGAAGTGAAATTACTTCTTAACACAGTAACATTTGAAATTGTCATTAGCTTCGTTAGATGCTAAGTTTGACGCATTTTCATTTGTCGTTATTTTCAATGACAGCAATTGAAGTTTATGCATACCCCACACCAATTCCTTCTTCTCAGCAGTCCACCAGCCAAAGAATCCAATTTTAGAGCTGCTAAAAAACTCTTTGGAAGCACCTTTGCGTTTCAGTGAGTATGGCTTAATGTTAATGGGGTTGTGCTCCAAAAATGCTGGGGAAGAAGACAGCCGCTCTTAGTAGTCGGCCCTAAGCATTGATTCATCACCTGTGTACTATGATTTGCCTTGGAAACTCAGAACTTTGTTTATTTATTAGTATATATTTACAGTACATAGGAATTAGAATTCCTTGTGGGTGCATAACACACCTTAATTCTTTTCATCCCTCCCTCTTTCTTTCTCTCTCTCCCTCTATCTCTTGTTCCTTTCCCACTCAGAACTTGGAGCGGCATTGTGACTTACACTGTGACTGTTTTCAAAGATGGTTGATGTTCTAGCTTTGCTTTTTCTCCCTTCTCAGTGGCTCACATATTGAGAACTGGCACTCCATCCTGAGGAATGGTCTGGTTGTCGCCTCTAATACACGACTGCAGGTAAATTTCCTGAGTGCTTCCCTGAGGCCCCATGGTTCTTCAGTGCTGAGGTTCAGTAAGCAGTCCTGGTGAAAGGTTTGTACTCACCAAAGCAGAGTATGTGAGGTTAAGTACATTTTTGCAAACTATCTGAAGCAAAATTGACCTATACACAGTGCAAAAGAAAAAAGAAGGAAGGTGAGTTTTCCATGAGGAAAACACTAAAATTCATACTTAGAACTTAGAAAAAATACAATGCACAAGACAAAACCATACAGGCACTCAATCCACTAGTCCAATATACATAACTTGAGTACTGTGCCTCGGCGTGAATCTTGGAATAGAAAATGTAGGAATAAGTAGAGTGGAGATTGGATACCAACGAGCCTCTGGTACCTGATTTTCAGTCTCTAGGACAGCACTTGGCGTAAGCAGGTGTTGGAGCGACTGTGCTTGTCTTTTTCCACATCTTTATGTACGGCCTTCATCTTTCACGTTCCACTTCATGCTCACGTACACGAATTCTCATCAAATGACTAAGGGGGCACTGGGAAGTGAGATGAACAGGACCCTGAGCAAGATGTCACAACACAGTGGCATTTGAGGTGATGCAGTTAAATGTACATCTCCATACATGCACATTTATGGAATTAGTATTCACTGCATACTAATAAGGTCTGAAGACCTTAACACAGAGATAATAAGAAAGGACAGTTAGCTGCTGTGAGTGGTTTCCTCGGACCAGTGGAAGAAATTCAGCTAATGAAAATCTGAAGGAAGCCAGGAGTGAGCTGACAGGTAGAGTGCCATAGGATGACAATCTGGGTAGATACTGTGATATACGGGTATGTAAGTCCTAGTCAGAATGCCTTTCCGTGTATTTCAGCAAGTATTGTTTTCAGAATTTTACCTTCATTAGAATTAAAATCTGCTAGAGTACTTTAGAATAAGGAGCCATCACTGGTATGAAGAAAAATATTCATAAAGTGTCTTTTTCTTCTGGCTATCATTTTTTATTTATGAACTCACTGTGAATTTTAAATAACAGAGTATTAGTACTGCTTTCAAATTAGACTGTAGAATAGGAGCACTATCACTTTTCTAAGATTTAATGGTCTAATGTTAAGCTTAGAGCCTTCATTTGTGTAATAATAGTATTTATGAGCCATTAAATGACCTCCTGTGTCTTACCGTTGTAGCTCCATGGTGCGATGTACGGAAGTGGGATCTATCTTAGTCCAATGTCCAGCATATCATTTGGTTACTCAGGTAATCCTTATTTCTAACTTCAGATGTATGGGGTTTTTATTTTCTTATTGTTAGATACTCAAGGCAGTTTTCTATCATGTGGCTGAGATTTATCGCATGTGTTTGTTTTAAATTCATTTGATGAGTAGCAAAAGCAGGAACAAAACCCAGTAACAACTTTTTGCTAATATTTTCCTGAGAGTGTGGAGAAAAATAGTTTGAGATAAATGGAACGCATGTTTTGAGGAAGAAACTGAAGTTCCAAATGTAGAAAGATGATCATCAAATTTTTGGTGTTGATTGTTGGAGTTAGTGATTATTGCTTGCTTATGTGTTATGTTTAAAATAATTATGCTTATTGCAAAAAGATTCAGACTGCATCCAATTTTTAAAATAACAAAGAAAAATTTTCCTCATTTCCTACAACTCAGTATTTGGTATCTTTTCCCTCATGTTATACGTGTTTATATTCCTCCACCTGTACGTGCAGTTGGATTTGCACATGCACATGTGTGTATAAGATGTGATCACTCCTCAGTTCTGGAGATGTTGCTCACATGTTTCCTGAACAGTTTGATGTTGTAGGAAAGGACCCTCAATGAAGTCTAATAACTAGGTGAACATCATTCAGACCTACCTGTCTTAATTCAATTACCAAAGTTATGTTCTTTCAACATAATATGTTTTTCTCAACGATGGTGGAGTAAAATCAAAACACTTAAAATTAAATTTGTAATTAGAAATATGAACAGAAAACAATGACAATGGAAAAAACTAAAATAATTTCTGTCTGCTTGGTAAGCACAAGGTCATGAGTTTGATCCCTGGTGCCCTCCCCAAATCTAAAATAAAATACTGAGTAAAACTGCCATGGAAAATTGAGAGTGTAGGTACAGATGATTATTTAACAACTACTGTAAAGTAGGCCACCCTAAATTTGGGGTGAAACAACCACTTTATTAAGAATCTTTAAATAAGGAATGTTATGTATGAGCTGGCCAGGGATGGTACCGGTCCTTGAAGCATCTGCTGAGTAGTGGTCAGTGGCGGGGTGAGTGGAGTGAGCAGTCTGATCTCTTGCCTCAGGCCAGGTACCTCAGCAGAAGGACACGCAGGCTCCCATGGCAGCCTATGCAGCACGGCAAATGCAGGACAGCTGGGTTTCTTACCTGAACTACCCCATGTGTCCCTAGAGAGTTAAGGTCAATTGTGGCTGCTTTTTTAAAATCTTGTTTCAGAGATCAGCTGCCTGTTTCCATATATTCTCCTTGTCAGAGCAGTCACAGGACCTTCCTGAGTCAAGAGGTGGGGTTGGATGCCACCCTCCATGTGTAGCAGATGTACGTGCTCAGAAATACTGCTGTTGTGATTTTTTAAACAAATACCAGAATGGATAAGATAGTCCAGAGTTAAAAACTGGAATGACATACAGTGTGGTACCTAGTTGATTTCAGGAGGAGTGACAAATACCAAAAATGACGGCCACCAAACAAATTGTTTTGGATGTAAAAGGCAGTGAGTCATGAGATCACTGGCACTGACAAGGTCTAGCTTGTGGATTGAGTACCAGACGAATAGCACTAGGACAAAATTTTCCTGTAAAAATTCATCTAGTACCAATTATTTTTTCCAAGCAATTGAGTAGCAAGGTAGGACTGTAGTTTAAATAGAAAATAATTAAAATCAGATTGCAAATTTTACTGAAATACCACAAAATAAAAAACAAACAAAAAGCAATGGAAGTAAATAGATATATCCTCAGCCTAGCTAATAAAAAGCACAACAAATCATGAAGTGCTGTCATACTCCGCTGCTTCTCCTGGTGCACAGTCCCCGCTAGCCGGCTTTACGGGAAGGACTGAGGGGGATACAGGCTCTGAGTGAGTGTACAGTTTGGTCTCTGCATTTGTCTGGGGAGAGTCCATAGTTCATGTTAGGTTCTTGAAGGGCTGAAGGTGCAGTTCCTTGACCAAGCTTGCCTGGTTTGTTTGAGGCCTTGGATTAAATTCCCAGCAGCACTCGCACACAAAAATAAAAAGCACTACTGATTGAGGGCTGAAATGGCAGATTTAGAGAATGAAACAGGCCCTGCCATAAACACGCCTGCCACAATACCAGCTGCCTTTCCCTCAGACCTGTAGCCACGTTACCGTACCTTTTGTGGAAGAGTCCAGTGTGGAAAAGGTTAGATAAACATATTTCGCTAATTGATAAATGAGTTTTGTGCCTTGACATTAAGCCCTTTATTAAAATAACAATAAAAAAGCTGCATGCTGATTTCTAGTATGAAAATAAATGCATACTTTAAGTCTAGATGCAAATCTACCTGTGTGTTTTTCTAAAGTCTTTCACTGTGACAAATCGCAACATTGATAGTAAGCTAAGGTTTGTGGCTATTATAGACAAAAAAAAAAGTTACATTATTTTTTCTTAATTAGAAGAAATGGTAGATTCTACTCGGAATTGCGTATATATCAACAATTCACAAAATTGCCATGTAAAACATTTTTTCTGACATTGGTCATATTTCTTATTTCTCATTTCCTTATATTAAACAAATGGTAAAAATGAATGAAGACTAATTCTACCTAACCGTTTTAAAATCAAGTTTTAAGGATTATCTAATTGTGTTAAGTTTGTGCAAAAGAAACTGTCCCTAATTTTACAAGGCAAAGATAAGCAACCTCAGACTCTTCTGACCTCCCTCTGCTAGGATTTCCCTTACCCACTGGTCCACCCCAGATTGTTGGGCATAGCATCCCTTCCTCTGACCTGAAATAATCAGACCTCTGCCTGCAGTACAACTTTGTGGCATGGAGAGGTTGTACCTGGAGCTGCATCACATAGCTTTGTCCTTATGTTGTTATTTTGCTAATGTTTCTAGGGATGAACAAGAAACAGAAGGTGTCAGCCAAGGACGAGCCTGCTTCAAGCAGTAAGATCAGCAGTGCATCACAGGTGCTGTAACAACTTGTGTGACTGTGTAGAAATAGGGAACCATGGACTCATTAGACAGCAGGACTCTGATAAATACTCATGCTTATTAAGTTTTGCAAAAATTTAAGTAGTCATTATTCATAAATGAGTAATTGTGTCTGCACCATAGTTACCCAACAGACATTTGTTGGTCTCTCAGCTACAACTCTAGAGACTCTCCTAGGCATCAGGGGACAGTGGCGCTCAAAACCAGACAAATATTGAATCCTGCATTCCACTAAGGGAATAAAAACAAATTAGAAACATATTTAAGCAGAATGACAGATGGCATAGGAAAATAGGTTAGAGGAAAGGGATATTTGATGCTGCAGGGTACAAGAGGGCACAGGAGTGAATGTTAAATGGGATGGTCAGGAAAGGATGCTCTGAGAAATGACATTTAAGTAAAGCCTCATCCATAGTAAGTGCAGAAACCTTGTAGCTCTCTGGGAGGATATAGTAAGTGCAAATTCCATGTTTTTTCAAAGAAAAAAAGTAAATGCCAGGCAAATTAAAAATCCACCTGTAGTCTTGTGTAGTCTTGAGTTTCAGTTTACAAAAAACAAACAAAACAATATGGCAAATCTTGTATCGCTGTGCAAAAACCACAAACATTTTTGGTTTTCTACATGAGATCTTTTTGAAACTTTTGTGGCTTAGTAAATGATGCTGAAAAAATGAGTTGGTTTAAGATCATTGTATGTTGTGGAATAATGGATTTTAATGTTTGAAAAGAACATAAAAAATCAATTTTGTTTACTTTTTTCAAAAAGGTGCCCAGATTTCAACAAATATAAATCTGAATTTTAATTAAATACTATTTCCTGATTTAGCATTATTTCAGTTCCCTGATGTTGATATGTGATTTAATAATTAGATGCATAAATTAAATGATATAACCAGAATAGATGTTAAGAATTAGTACAAGCTTTACCCCCCGAGCCATTTTAATGACTTACTTTTTAATGATGAAAAAGTTTTTCATTCGAGGTACTGCCTCATTTTTACTCTAATTTTTAAATTGTTTTGGAATTTAGTCACAGAAAAAAGGACAGCAATCCCAATTCCTGCAAAGCCGTAACTTAAAATGCATAGCCTTATGTGAAGGTAAGTACCACAGTGGCTATTCTCTATCTTACCTGTGTTTGAGAATCCAAGTACATTTACAGAGTATACCCGATAGAATAGTGAAAGTGTTGTTCCCTGTGATCATCTCGAAGGACACAAATGAAAAATGAGTACAATAGAGATCACAAAGGTTAAAACCAAATTGCAGAATTGGCAGAAATTCAGACAGTGCTATATTTTATTCCTGGTAGATATTTCAGAATGGTATTATATCTTTTTCTGATCAAGTAATGCTTATCTCTTTTGTTAATGTGCTACCTTACTCTCTAAGTCAGTATTTGAATATATTATACAGTGAAAACCTTGAAAAAGAACCAGACTTTGAGAAGATAACCGAACAGAGCTTTCTACCCCTGCACCAAAACTAGTCTTTCACTCTGAGCTCAGGACAGAAAATCAGTGGGTAGCTCGAAAGAGTATATACTTTCCTTTTTACTTTAAAACTTGACCTTGGCTAAATGTGTGTTTTTTTTCTTCTTGTGTTAGGTGTTTCTGTAGCTACTGTCAACAGTCTTTTAAGTTTTCAGTGCTTCGTAGTTATAGAAGCTGCTAAATTATATCTACCTAATTTTCAAGTTAGAGCTGTTTGTCTTTGATAATACTCAAGTAGTTTCTCACCTGTTACACCAAATGTTACTCAAATTACAAAGTGCTACATGGCTTTTCATCACCTTTGTTTACATTTCTGGATAGATGATTAGGTTAAGGATTGTATTCACTTTTATTTGTATATGTATTTTTAATTTTAGGTTTCAGGGAAGGGATATAGTCTAATGAAGTAGGGTTCCTTTCAAAATAAAGCAGTCTGTTAACTTTCGCTTCTCCTTTCCAGTGATCACCTCACCTGACCTGCACAAACACGGAGAAATTTGGGTTGTCCCAAATACAGATCATGTCTGCACACGGTTCTTCTTCGTGTAAGTGGAAATGCCGAAACTTGTATATTCCTGTCTTCTCCGCAGATGGGATAGTAGTGACTACATTATTATTTGATCACTTAGCTTATCATCAGTGTTAATCATTTTATTTCAATAAGCTTAATGAAAAAACCAGTTAAGTGCTATAACTTTGATGAATTGAAAGAAAACAGATATTAACACTGACAGAAAACACTATCTGTAACCATCTATATTTAGAATGGGAAATCAGAGAATACATTCTTCTATCTGAGATTTATCTACATTGGATGCAATGTAGGCTGTGGAAAAAGAAATTGTGCACATTGATCTTTTCTTTTTGGCCCAGATAAGCTGTGTCAAAATATAAAAACGTTGCTTTTCCTTACTAAGTAATGTGATAGACCACTGGACTTTTCACTCACCCTGATTCCCAGCCCCTTTCCTTGCCACTTGCTACCTCATCATGGTGCTTACTTGTGCAGAGGGATTTTAGGGAAGACCTGAGTATATGGGTTTGCACTTTATGTAGTTTCTAAAAAGAAGATGAAAGAAGATCTGGCTTGTTTATGAGCTGGGGCACAATAGTAGAATCGAGCTTGTTTCAGTGTGTTGTATATCCACAGTGCTTTGCATGTTCAGCATTTGATCCATTAGCTTGCTTGATGAATTCTTCACGTGAAATTTTTCTGAGATGCCCCATTTTCTTTGGGGTGCTGTGAAAATTGTGACATTCTTATGCTGCCTATTTACTGGCTATGTGATTTCCTGACAGGGAGACAGCAGTGAGTATAGGGGAAAGAACTGTGGGGTTTTTTATACTAGTGATCAGGCCCAGGGATTACCTACACCCCCAACCTTTTTTTTTTTTACTTTTGAAATAAGGTCACACTAATCCTCCTGCCTTAGAATCCCAAAGTACTAGTATTATAGGTGTGTGCCAGTCTGCTCAACTTTGGCAGTGTCCTGGCAGTTTGAGTCCCACTCAACAGAAATTAGGTGGATGATGTGGGCAGCTATTTTGAAGATGGCAAGAGGCATTACGGTAGCCATTGTTGATTTCTTATTCTCTTGTTTTGAAGTCCTGTATCACAGTGTTTTGTTTTGATTGACTTTATTCTTTTTTATTTTATTGGTTTTATTCTCTTTAAAATAAAAAAATTATAAAAAAGGAACTTAGCCAGGTAGGCATTGCTCCAACACTAAAATGAGCCTAACGACACACAAGATGGCCCATGACAAACGTCGTTCTGATCATCCCCAGACTATTTACAAAGATGTGGTTATAGAGAAACACAGGTCTAGCGTACTAACATAGTACACCAGAATCTTTACCTATCCCAGAGTCCAGGGGTCGAGGAGTGGAGGCAGTCCCGCTGGGAGTCCCTATCAGCCAAAGCACACCCGAGCCCGAGGCCATGGGGCCTGTGCATAGAATCTGCTTGACAGACTCCCGGGGTCTCACTGTGCAGTGCAGCCTGGTGTTGAACTCACTGTGTAGCCCAGGCTGGCCTCAAGCTCATCAGGATCCTCCTGCCTTAGCCTCCTGAGTGCTGGGATTACAGGTGAGAATCACCAGGCCAGGTTTACACACTGCCTTTAAAGGACTGTTATGAGGACCATTTAACACAATTTAGGGGTATTACTGAAAGGCTTATTAACTACGTTTTTTTCTTTCTTGACAATCTTGATTGTTGTTTGTTGTTAGAAACTTAAACTTCTGGAAAGAAACCTCCAGTCACAAAACTATTTTATTGTGTTATGTTGATGTTTTGTCAGAATAGTAAACTGTAGGGATATATGTTGGGGAATGTGCACTGCAGAGAAAGATTTCTATATTTCAACAGAAAAAGGGAAACAGAGATCAGAAAGAATAAAAGACTTCTAGTACACCAAGGTGCTTTCCAAATAATACAAAGGGAAAAATGACGTATTAAGACAATTCTCACCTGTAAAAACACAAACACAGTTTTATCCTTTTCCTCTGTATCCTCATGAAAGAAGATATTCATGAAGAAAATTGATACAATTCAAAACCCATGAGAGAATCCTTTCTCTAATTAATGTACACACTAATTATGGCTATCAGTTTTGTTCTTTCCGAGAGATATGGTCATGGAGTTCCATTGGGGAGCTTTGCTCTTGAGTGGTGAAAAAATAACTAATGAAAATAAAGTCAAGTATCAGAAAGAAAGTTAATTTCTGTTATTTTTATATTATATAACCCCGATGGCAGAATCTTTTTCAGATCACTCTGATTTAAGTTAATGTGATTTTCTTTTTAATCCTTAGTAGGTGAAAATATTGAAAGTTGAAATAATTTTCAAACCAGTTGATTTCCCAAAGCTAAAGTAGTAATCAAATAGTCGTGTAATAGTCTAATTATCTTCTTTTAAACAAACAACACAGACTGAGGAAAAATTAAGGAGAAAATTTTAGGGAATAGACTGGTGTACCAGAAGAAATTGAAAATAAAACTCAAAGGAAAGCATCATTTAGGAAAAAACTGGCGAGTGAGTTGTTTCTTAAAATTTTGTTGGAAAATTCCAAACAAATAAACTTAATTAAATATAAATGCTGTAGGCGAAATGTAGTGATTCAGATGTTATGGCCAGATTTCAGATGACTTCTTGTGTGTAGAAATTGTTAATAAAGCTTGATTATATTAATAACCTCCAGAAATACGTGCGCAACAACATTCAGTCCCATATGCAGAAAAAGGGAAGATGTTTTCAAAAATGCTAGAAGACTGACTAAAGCAAGGGGATGTGCAAACCAAGCTCAAGCGTTGTGCTCTGGTCACTCACACACAGATGTTAGACTGGAGCGCACCGAGGGCCTTAGAGCTGCAGATGGACACTTACTACTGGCATTTTTCACAGTTAGGACACAACCAACAAGGCCAAGAGAAGGTGAGGATGATTAGGCAGAATTTCTTGGCGAAGCAAGTGCATCTGGTGTTGCAGGTTCCCTGCTGCCCCCGCCCCCCCCCCCCGGGCTGCTGCAGGGAAGCTGCTAGGGACGGAGGGTGTCCTGCCTCAGCTGCCATGGAATCAAGGAAAGGTGACTGTCAGCTAAGGCTGCCCTTATTTGACATGGGTAGCCTGTGTGGTTTGCTGCATTGGTGTAATTTAGAGCAGGGAGAAGTGCCGATGAATTATTCCCATATTTTGATTGTTAAGTCAGGTTGGGTATATATTAAAATATTTTAGGTAATTCAGAAATTTAAGAGCAAGAAGAACCACATAAAACTGTTCATCTGTGCAAAATGGGCCTGAGCATGGACAGGTCCTTGAGCCAAGCAAGTCTCACGTCTGAGTGCTCCGTCAATTTCAGGAATGTTTATCCCGTATCTGGTTTATTTTTTTAAGATGTTCAAATGCCATCTCTTCCACCCATCTTCTGGTCAAAAGTAATGTCTTCTGGTGTTCCCACAGCCCACTTCAGAATTTCTCTGTAAAATTTACATTATTCATTGTCTGATTCTTCCAAGAGGCTGCAGGTTCCTAAAGTGGAGACCTCTTTATTGATTTCCATGCCGCATTCCCTGCAGCCTATTGTACACCTGCTAAGACACAATGGCTTGTCAGTAAATGTTTAATGAATGAACAAAAGCAAAAACAAACACAAAAAAGAAAAAAAATATTATATAAATTCTAAGTCAAAATGCAATTTGCAGTATCTCTAAAAGGGCAGACTTAGTTGTTGGTGTTGTTTCCCAGCCTGGACTTGAACTCCTGGCTTTAAGCTCAGTGATCCTCTTAACTCAGCCTCTGGAATCGCTGGGATTATAGCCATGTACATCCATACATGGCTAAGGAAAAGTTATAAACATTATAAAGTTGTATAATGACACATTAAGTGAAATAAGTTATCTTTAGCTTTAATCATGAACTTGCAAAACAGTATTCAATTGCATAATCCTGAGGTGACAACTTATTTAGGAAGTTAGAAGCCAGGATATTCAGGACATTCCTCAGGGCACACATGCGAGGAGGAATTCCCTTGATCCCCAGTGTGTTGCAAATCCAGTCTCTGTCTCCAGCCCAGATCTTTCCATAATTTAAGCTGTCCAATCACTCACTTCCCTGCTTAAAAATCTTCATCAGCTGCTCCATACCCACCCGGGTGTTTTCAGAGTGATCCACTCCTCAGCCCCTTCTTCTCTCTTCATGCAGACACACAGCAGGGTCAAGAAGATGCAGCTGCTGCTTCCCAGCCCACAAAACTGCCCTGTGTGGCCTGAGTTTCTCACTTTCGTGTTTCCATTCTTCATTTCCAACATCGTTTATCAATCCCACTCATTTCTGAAGTCTTACTTTATGACTTCCCCGCGCCCAGAAACCTCTCTTGACTCCTCTCATCATTTTATTTGTGAGGTCTGTGTATTGCCTGAGCGTGTTTCCATGGTTGGATTTTCCATGCTCACTGTCGCTCTTCTCCATTACTCTGAGCACTCGTGAGTTCAGCGGTGGTGGGTCATCTGTCTTGGGGTACCTAGCGTAGAGCCAGCATAGAGTGAGGAAGCAGAGAGTGGAATTCCCACGTATGATGAGTGTTTGTTCCCAGAAAGCCTGCTGAAGTCTTCCGCTCAGCATGTCTAAAGTAGACACCATTATTTAAACCTTGTAAGCAACTTCTCAGCTTTCTAATATGCACAGTAATTTCATCCATCAAAGAGACTTAAGTCTGAGCTGTAGTTTTCAGTGTTCTTTTCTCACTGTATCCTTTTGTTCTCAGGTCTAGCTTTTCAGTTTTCTCGACAGAGCTGTTGCTGTGTCCCCAGAGTATATTTCAAAAGGTTACTCATTCTTCCTGCGTCTGATTCAGTCGCTCTCAGCCTGTTTTGTACAATGCTGGATTTATTAAACATTACCTTTATTACAACAGTGACACTCATTCATTATTCACAAACTGAAGACAAGCTAAAAAAGGAGGAAATTGCTCATATTATCCCCACTTAGAGTTAACTGCTCCTTCTGGTGTGAGACCTACCTTTCTATGTGTATAAAATCACTATATCTTATTTATTTTTTCTAAAGCATGTTTTGAGTATTCATTGCCCGTGATAACTAGCGGATAAGCCCATTCTACTTTATTTTAATCACTTGTACACACTACTGATCCAATGAAACGGCTGTCTGAACCATTTCATAAGAACACTTTTCAGTGAGTTGCCCCAGACTTGTGTCTGACTTGAGTTCTGCTAGTCCATGTGACTGACCTCCTCACCCAAACCTTTGCCTATTCTTTTTCTCTCTCCATTGTTAATGCAAGATGGTGCCTGAGTTTCCGGGTTGCCAGTTGATAGAGACAGGAACGGATTGACGTGTGCCAGTCTTGTAATGCTCATGGAAAAGGCTGTGTCAGTTGGATACTTTCACAATTCTTTCTGTGAAGTTCCTTGACACACCTAAGAGATTTCTAGGCAACTAAATTCTATATCGGCTTATTTTTCTCTTGAATATTTTTAAAACAAGCTTCTTTTTCATTAAAATTTTAGTTTTTTTTAAGTCCATTGGAGATACAAATTTTTACCTCCATTTAGTGTCCTTTCCTTTTATTTTTGCCTCCTTTCAGGTGTTTTTATTTTTCTTCTACCAAAAACCCAGCTATGCATATCATCTCCACATTGATCACACGTTTGTTGTTGTTGCTTTCCAGAAATAAATGAACTTCTTGTGACATTTAACAACCCAGTGTTTATGCTATTCGTGAAGAATTCTGTGTTCTTTACTGTGGAAGTTACTCAGTGGCCATTAGCAGTCATACATCTAAGCTTTGTGAGTCGCCTAAACCACATAGTAGTTCGTTTTCCTTTAATAGTATGCACAACTCACTGCTCAAAACACCAAAATTCGCCTGGCCAATGCTTTCCTTTATTCTCCAAGTCTTATGTTCCCTTGCCGGTTTCATGGGGAGCACAAACATTTCCATTTTCTGTAATACTTCACATTGTCTCTCTGTCCCTCCTTCTTGCTCTCACTTGCACTCTGCTTTCCTCTTTTGCACCTGTGCTCTCTCTCCCCTCATTTTGTCGTAAATTACTGTAGTTTACTTAAAGGATGTGACTCTCATCTCCATTAATTTCTAGTGCTCTAGTGTGTCAGTAAACATATACTTGGGGAGAACAAATCTTTCCATTTAACAGAAAGTGACAAGTGAGGGGGAGCAGTGGCCCATGCCTGGGGAGAAAGTTTGTTTGGGATTCTGAGGGGCTCGAATCCCCAGCGACCCTGTGTTCTGTGAGTGAGGTAGAGATCTTTTATGTCGCTTTAGTTGGGTAGAGGATTGGTCTTCTAGAAGAGACAATGGGGGGCAGTTAATACAGAAAGATCAGATACAATGTTATTACAGTTCTCTAGGTCACTTTTTCTATCACAAAAAAGAAATGTGTTTGACACTGTGACTTAGGGGCAGAATAAGGGTTTCTATGTGTAGTGAAGTCAGTACTTCCTGTCCTAACCTCACTTACAGTGCTATTATAGACACGTTCATTTCACAACCCACTAGTAATATGCAACCTGCAACTTTGAACTCACATGTAAATGAATAAGCCCCAAACAAAGATAATGGCATAAAGTGGAGAAAAGACGTAATTGGAAATAATTAACAAAATGGAAGCAGTGTAACCTGGTGATAATTGAATCTAGGCATACAGAAGAATTGGAACTACTGAGTTGTTTTGAGTTGCATAGTAGCGCCTCAAATGCAGATGTGGATGCAGTGAAAAGCAGTCCGAGGGTCAAAGTGGGTTTGAATGTGCTGTGTCTGTGATATCTACGAATAGTTGCATTAGGCAAAGCTCTAAGGAGTGGAGATACAGTTTAGGAGGCAGTCTGGAAGGGACAGTTAAAGATTGAGGGAAAGAGAATTGAGGAAGTTTGTATAGAATGAGAGAGGACACAGGAATGAGTAAGTATAAAACCATCATTAAAATGGAAAATTGGGGAAGACTGAGAATTAATCACAGTCTGTTTAGGGCATGCAGTAATGGAGCATCAAGCTGGGCATGGTGGTGCACACCTGTAATCCCAGCACTCAGGAGGTTGTGACAGGAGGATAGCTATGAGTTCGAGATCAGTTTAGGTTACAAAGTGAGCTCATGGCCAGCCTGAACTGCACAGGGAGACTCTGTCTCAAAAAGAACAACAACAACAACAACAACAATAATAATAATAGAGCATCAAGAACAGCAGGACAGCATATTTCAGACCACAGATGGAGGAGATAATCTCCTGAATTCAACAGCTAGGAGGCTGGGACGACCTTGGCCAGTACTTTTCAGTGAGCAGTAGGCACAGAAGTAAGACTGCAGTAGGTCAAGGCAAAAATAGGAAGTTATAAAGACAAATAGTATTCAAAGGTCAGCTTCAAATTGCAGCCAGAAAATGTGGTAGCATGTAGAGTTGGCGTCAGGTAAGCGGAGCACGTCTTACTCAGTTTTGTGTTCAAACTGCATTGGATATAGTGGGTATGTTCATTGTAGCAAAAATGCAACAAAGATAGAACAAATGTAAATTCGGAAGTGTAAAATTGCACATGGGTTGGTATCTCAAACTGGAAGCTATGGGGAACCAAAAGAGTTCTAGGTGCTGCCACTCCCACTTCTCTCTCCTGACAGTACAAGGTTTCTCTGCGTCTTTCCCATTCTCTTTTTCTTAATCTCTTCTGCTTTCCATAATCTGCCTCTTAGCTGGAGCTAGTCTGACATCATGCTGAAAACCCTAGTGTTAATTTAGGGCTATACCTTCATGTGACATTGTCTCCTCCTCCTGCCAGGAAATGAGGGTGGTTTAGCTTCTGTCCTTGGTCTGTGATCGCCAGGCAGAATTTATCCAAACAGAAGCTTGACATGATAACACGTATCTTTACATAGTCTGCCACAAGCACCTGATTCAATTTGAACAATTTCAAATGGTTTTAACATGTTCTCTGGTTCTTAGCAGATCACTTACTTTTTGGTCTGAGAAAGTATTTATAGGTGGACTGTTACCACATAGTCTGTACTTTGTCTTAGAGACAGATGCACTGACTATATCTGACAAAGCAAACTTTTAAGAATTAATCAGGTTGACCTTGGATCCTTTAATGTGGAATTTAGACTTGTACAAAGGGAATTATCAATTGCTATTGAAGCAAATGGATTCTATAAGGAGCTAAGGTCTGTGGTTTTATGTCATTTATTTCATTTTCCTTTATTGTGCTATTTCTGGAGAATTTTAAGTATGGGACTAAAAGACAGTGGCATGTATTAACCTTGGAGATACGGTGCTTATGCCTCTGGTTATGTATTTTGAAATAATTACCACTTGTCTAAAGATTCTATCTTGAAGCCATTTTTATATAGTAAAATTAATTCATCACCTATTTTACTCTGAATATTATCATGGAAGTTTGAAAATTCATTCTTTGGAAATTCTTATTGCCCAAGTAAGTTTATTGAGGAAACGAAGTATCCATAACACAATTTTTTTTTTGTAGAGAACTTAGCAATTGCTGCTTTTTAATATCGCATCTTTTAATGCTAAACTAAATTTAGCAGTCTTACATTTTTATGTGAAGTACATAAGAATATGTCACAGTCAGACTAAATAGGACGAATAACCAGGGATAATGGAACCATTCAGCACCGATTAGAACTGGGTAGTTCTGGGTGAAAAATAGTTAGCATTTGGGCATGGCAAAGAAGCAGGGCTAGGGGGCTGGGGATTTAGCTCAGCGGCATAAGTGCCTGCCTTGCAAACAGGCAGTCGTGAGTTCGATCCCTGGTACCGATAAAAAGGAAAAAGACAAAAAAAAAAAAAAAAAAAGAAGCAGGGCTAGAAAGTGAAGTGAAGGTCAAAATTAACTTTAAAATGGAAAGGGGGTAAATTAAGGCATGACAGAACATAGGCAACTGACTAGGAGGCCGCAGTGGCCTTTGCCAGTACTGTCCAGTGAGCAGCAGAGAGAAGTTAACTGCAACTGAAAAATCACTGTATCCATAGGCTGCTTTCTAGGTGTCAGATAGCATTTTGAATCCATTTTAATCCTAACATCTTTTTAAATGTTTTTGTGTTTCTCTTTTCTGTTTTAGCTATGAAGATGGCCAAGTGGGAGATACAAATATTAACACACAAGAAGGTGGCATTCACAAAGAGATCCTCCGAGTAATTGGTAACCAGACTGCTACTGGTTAAAAGACCACCGTTTAATTAATGTGATTTGAAAGCCTTCCTCGGGTTCAAAGCTGGATTTTGAACTGAAGAAGATAACACAATAATTTATTGTTATTGTAAACAAAATTAACCCTTTGAATACTGTTTTTTTTTCTTAGCATTTCTAAGTATCTCATTAAATACTTAAAGTGGTATAAAATTTACCAATTGTAGGGTTATGGAATCTAGTAATAAAAATTAAATCAGCACTTAAACTGAAGTTGGGTTGCATACACAATAAACAGATTGAAACAACAGTTTTGTGCTGATATTTTTATATTAAATTCTTTAATTGGACATTTGGTTATTATATACCAACATTTTAGGTTACTAAAATAGAACTGGTAACATTTTCTAATGGCATCTAAATCTATCGGATACTTTGCAATAAGTATATTGTTTGCACGTTCTGATGTGCGATATAATTAGTGGTATGAATATTCAAATGTTTTGGGAGGGATATTGCCTTTTCTCCTATTTTGGTTATAAAAAGAAATAAAAGTGCTTTGCTTTCAAAAAAGTATGTAATATACATATATGTAGTTTCATGCATCAAGATGTGTGGCTGTGCAGATATGTGTGAATATTCATACATATATATTTTGACAAGAGAGATGGGATATCTTTACCATTCTGTCCTTACTCAGTGAAAAGAAGATAATACTCAGTAAGCAGTAAACCAACACAGTCCAGGATATGAGCCAAATTATAACTGTCCATTCACAAAACTATTTGCAGACAGTTTTTTTATTTGTTTAAAGAAGTGTCCCTTTGGTTACAATTTAGCTTATTTCAAGTGTGAGTCATAATTTGGGGATAATAGAGGCCCTGGTGGACTAAATCCATATTCAAGTGATCTTATGTTTAACGGAAAGGCCTCAGAATCGAAAGAAACATTGTATACATTTTATTTTCTACAAAGGACATTTAAAATTTATTTATACCACACCAGCATTTTATATTTGTTCATTTAATACCTCTGCTTAATTTTTTTCATATTGAGAAAGAAAAACTTTGAAGTTTCTTTTATATTAAAAGAACACAAATAAGTTTATAGAGAACAGTAACACCAGCTCTCAACGTTTCCCTTTCCAGAATCCTGTGCTCATCAAAATCTTTCTATTTCTTTTGAGTCCTAGAGTTATTCAGGTTTTAACTGGCAATGTTTGTTTTCCTCCATGGTGTCTTTGGAATTAGGCCATTCATGAAAGCAGTTTAATTAGTGAGTCTGCCACTCTATTTAAACCCTGAATCAAGGCTCTTATCTGCTTTTAGTTTGTGTAGGAAGAAAAAAAAATACAAATGTGTAATCATTTGCAAGTATAATGTGGTAACTTCAGTGTTTATTTCCTTTTTCTGGCATAAAAGATGAGAAAAAGGTCGTAAAAGTTGTCAAGAGTCGCAGTTTAGGAAATGTTTAATAATCATTTGTTTTTCTTACACTGTAAGTGAGTGATAGGCCATTTGTGCAGAATGACTGGAAGAGGTTGGGACACTAACCATTTTGATAGTATCTACCCAAGACACTGATGTGCTGTGACTGGTGCCTCCGAACACATGGCCAGTCCGTGGAATAGCATTAGTATGGGAGGGCCGATCTACTGTTTCTGAACTCGGTGTCTAAAGACTTGGTGTGAGATGAGGGAATAGCATCCTGCTTTTGGCCACTGTAACTATGTTTTTGGAAGCATTTTTAGGCAGCAGAATCAGTTTTAATTCTGTAGGACACTCCATGCATGGCATCAGTGTGAAGATGTCGTGCAGGATTTGGGAGCCATGGCTTTAGAGCCCTCCCCTGTTGTCAGGCACTAAGCCTTGCCTCTGGAAGCTCCCAGCACAGTGTGAAAACCACCAGCCTAATCCATTCTGGTCTCCTTAACATTTGGATGACCTGTAGAGGATACAGTATTGGAGTCTGAACTGGAAGGTAATTTAAAACTCAAAGGAAATTATTTAGGAGAAAAGAAAACAGACATAATGAAAACTTGCATTGCCAACTTAAAAGCAGATTCACCTGTCTGAAGGAGTGTTGTTAGTTCAGTGCCCATTATATGTAACAGCACAGTATGTCTCTATTATGATTCATGTTAGTCAAATAAGATATCTTATAATGATAACCGAGTTGTAGAACAATATAGAATGACAGGTTTGTTTCCAAAATTGTATCAGAACCTCTGTAAGCAGTTATTTTAAGGAGAATGGGTCGTCATTGAACTTTTTGAAATTGGCAATATTATGGTAGACTGATGAAGATGCTTATCTATTCATCAGAAGACAAACTCCTTTTACTACTGCAAGTGAATATGCTTCTGAAGTCCAAGTGGATCCTTAAAATTTAGAGATTTAAACATTCATCTTGCCTTGATTCAGTCACCCCATTAAGATAGTGTTTTAACTTATTTGATGACTCCAAACATCTGACATTGTATTGTATTTTAATAATCATTGGAAATGTGTGCGTTGATGTTTTGTAATAGCTCTGTTAATTGTGTAGCCATTGCTCTTAGATCACAACCCAGCAAAGGCAATCATTTATTTTCATTTTTAAAGTATGAAAAAAGGTTCATAGTTTATTTGTTCTCCTTTTTCCTACCTTACTGGTTTTGTAAACATTTCACTAGGAATAATTTGTCCTCTTGCATAAAAGACAGGAAAATGATTGAATATTTGAGATAGGAAAAAATAATATACAATCATCTCAGTATACTATAGAATGCATTATAGTAAGTCATTTTTGGTGTCATAGAATACATTATATTGGAAAAAATTCTATATCTGTTGCTCTGTATATCTCAGTCAAATATTGGATTTTTAAACTATAATTTTAAGAATATCGCATCTAAAAGTTCCTGTCAAATGCTACATGATAGTTTAACAAACTTACAGCCCCAACAATTTATTAATCTTGTAAATATTTCTCATTGAAGATTTCGAAGAAAAAAATTCTGAATTTTTCTCTCCTTTGCTCAAAGAGAAAATCTTTAACATGCAAGTCAATGAATCTTTAGTATCACTGAACAAATTTTCAAAGTACTTTATATAGTAAAATATTTTTAAAACCATAATTTAGGGCATAAAGTTTCAGAAATTATGAGAAATTCACCTCCCTTATGAAAGAGTCTCGATGACTTTGTGTAGAGAGATATGTAACACTGAACCATCTACCTTCTCAAATAAGATTTGCTGATGGCATTTGAAGCACATTTTAGAAATTTTATGACATTCTATTGTCCTGCAGGATTTTTCATTACAACACTACCTCAAGACAAATAATAGACTGCTTGTTAAAGTAAACTGGATTCTAGTGTGAGAAAAATTTCTGTTCAGTACTGTTTGTACTAACTTTCAAACAATAGCCGTCAAATCAACAATTAAGACCGTGCTGGACAAAGATGTTGTCAGTTACTTCTTAACTCTGCTGTAACATGGATCTTTCAACCACTAGTGGTGAGTGACATCCCTGGCACCCTGTGAGTTACCTGAAGGGGTTTCAAGTTGCGAAATTTGAAATTAGTTCTTTTTGAGATTAGTTACTGTCACATGGGCCAATTTTATGTCCACTCACCCATAGCCACAAATTGTTGCCCACTCTAGAGTTAAAGGATTAAAAGACCTAACTGCTATGCCAGAATAGCAGAATGAGCATTCAAGCATTTTGGCATTTAATACCTGCTGAGTTTTTGCCAGATTATACATAAATTTGATGTATATTATTACCCAGTAAATTTTTCTTCGGGATTTTGTACACGCTGTGAAACGTAGGATAAGATTTTGTAGGTTAAAAGTATTTCAAGTAGTTTTTAGACAAAACATACTCATGAGTGTGAAAAAGATGTGTTGAAGAATAGATTGCATTACACATTTACCAGCGAGTTGGTAAAAAATAGTGCTTATTTACATAGTCTACATAATTTAATGTTCTAAAAATAATTTCTTTACTCTACCCAAAATTTAATGTATCATGAGATTTAAAACTCGCAGCCACTCCTTTATGTAAATGTTACAATATGCCTGTGTTTCTTTACGCAAACTTCTTTACAATACATTTCTTGATTTTTGTGCACAAAATAGTATTGCAACCTGCTATTTAGCCTTTGGTGCCTTAGAGTTATTATAAATATTTAACAATATGTACATTATGTAAATACTGCCAAGAGATCACTAAGGCCAAATATTTTCTCTATTCACTTTTTATTGCACTTGCTTTTTATTGCTACTTAAGCCTCTTTTATCCAGCTTTGTAATAGTTCTAACATTGTAGCCAATGTAAATGTTTACTTTCAATAAATCTGAATTTGTTCAACAAATACGGTATATGTGGGCACTAATTTGAAGATCTGGGTAGGCCTTACATATTGCTTTTGATGAATGTATTTTCTGGGGACTATATATTGGAAGATTCAATAAATTAAAAATGACGCTGCCCCTTTTCACTATGAAAATACTTTTAAAATAGAGGGGCCCCTTACCAGTGTTTCTCAGCTAGTTGTAATGCCATAATTGGTTGTGAGAGTGCCATTTTAATTTCAAATACTATCAAGAAGTGTAGGATTGAAACAAAAGATTTTTGAGTGTTTCAATTCATAGCATTCAGGTGAACTATACTGAACTAAATATTTCTGACCTGATTAATAATTGGGAAATGACTTGTAAAGCACCATGTTTCTTTTTTTTTACACCTGTATCTCAGTCTAATAAGATGTTGGCCCATAAATAAGGTTCTCTAAACATGTTAATAGTATTTTTGAGATACAAACTTTATATTCACAATAACTAATTTTTACTTATGCATTTGTAACCGAGAAACTTTAAACAGCAAACGTACTTAACGAGTTGATTTCAGTTATTCTAGAAACGCTTGTTAAAAACCTGGAATACATTTTGACAGTCACTGTAGAACTCAGGAATGTTAGGTTTTGTGTTGTTCTTAAGAAGCCTTCAATCTGTGAAAATAAAGCAAGCAGATTTGTAAAAATTCACCAATAGTACAGTGCCATTGATGGTGAATGGAAAAGGCAAATGCAAGCCACGCTGAGGAAGAAACAAACCAACTACATCACAGCAATTGAGAAAACGCCTCCGCAGATCCATGATGCTAGTGGTACCCTCGGGCAGGAGCTTTACTGTCTTAGGGCTTTTAAACAACACTGAAAGGAAAATTTGCGGGTTAAAGAAAACAGACTTACAGAAGCAATGAGCTTGGGTGAATCAATTCAAGCTCTGTTTTTAGGTGTTTTTGCATGTATTGAAGTGAAATCTGCACTCAATGATTCATTGAATTTTTAAATTAATGAGTAGTATGTTAATTTACACTTGTTTACCACTTCTCATGATTCTTACAAAAAAGTCTGATTCCCTCTAGCTTATACTAACTGTCCTAAGGCATTCTAGACTTTTAACACATTTTTGAATAATTGATATTATTTTAGAATAATTGTTGATAATGTATATATATATATATATATATATATATATATATATATATATATAATTAGCTACTTGGTTTTTCATTGACTTTTTGCATATTTGCTATGTTTTGATATCGTGGCTCAATCTCACGGCTCCTGGAGTCCTTATTTCCTCTGACCTCCATCTGCTTTTCTTAGAGAAGATGGTCAGAGTGTAGCTCTATCTTCCAGTTTACTTCCCCAATCCCCTTCCCCACTTCAGCAACCACTGGCTAGGTTAATAGAAGTATATATTTTTCTGTTTTTAAAAAGTTGTACATGCTGCTTTAAAAAAGAGATCTGAATGTATTCAAAATGTGGACACTGTTTTGAAGACTTGGGTACACCTTAGACAGTCCCATTTTCTATGTGTGGTGCTGGGGATCAAATACAGAGCCCCACTCATGCTAGGCAAACACTACCCCTGAGCCACACCCCCAGTCCACGGGCTGCTTTGTTGTAAGGCTAAGGCTAAGAACCACTGAGAATTCCGCTGTGTAGTTGGTCTCTAATGCTGTGCCCAACTGCTGAGTCCCTCTCTAACTTTCAAATAGCAGTGACTTGTAGTTTGTAATAAAAAGGCTAATACTTTCAGAGTTGTCAAACATACAGTTTAAAACACAATTTTATTATAATTATTAACACGTTCTACAAATGAATGGGTTTTGCTGTGGCATTTCCATGCATGCATCTATGCAGCCTTGATCATTTCTGCTCTTCCTCCTACCCATTCCCATCCCCTTCCTCTGTTTGCCTCCTGAACCCCTTTCCATCTCCTGTTTCAGACCATCTTAAAAACTCATGTATTTTTGAACTCACACTGTCTTTTTTATTAGAACTTACTTTATCTAACACTTTAGGAAACAGTCTCACATAGATTGTCTAAGTTTCCTCTCAAAATAACTGAAACATGTTAGATGTGTTCTTGCTAAAGAGATCACAGTCTTCCAAATCTAGTTTCTGAGTCTCCACCTCTGGATTTTCTAACCAGCAAGGTTTGCCATTGCTGAGACCACATGTTGGCAAAAACAGTGGACTGGGAAGAGACCCTGAGGAGAGCTGGTTGTCATAACGGGCTGTGAGGGAGATTGGAGAGACTATTGGCCCTGGTTTTGTTCTAGAGAGCTTAGAAAGGACTCAGTTCTCTGTCGGTTCTCACAGGAGTGACATCGTAAAAGTGGGATTTTGAAGACATGCTGCCTACTGTATTTGGGAAATATTTCATAGAGGGGTAGAAATCAGAAAATTTTAGACATCTGTTATAAATCTGACAGGAATGAAAGTAGAGAAGAATTGAGAATGTATCAGAGATGAGGATTTAGGGAAAAGCAATTACTAAATCAGACCTAATTAATACATTAAGGGACAATATCAGTTGGGAACCGCTTCTTAACTTGCTGTGGGAGCTCTGTTAGGATTCTCCTGCATCTTGGAGTATTCAGAAGATGAAACACAAATCGTTTGAAGTTATCTCTGCATGAAGTCTGTGATTACATATTCAACCATGCTAAAAGGCAGTATAAAGGGAAGTTCTAAACCTCACGGAGATGTTTCTGAAAGGGTCTCACTTCCACCTGTAGAACTGAGCTTATGAAATACTCAAGTCTGTAAGAGGATGAGTGTGTCATTTGTTAGTTTCATATCTGTCTTAATATGGTTTGTCATTTCCAAAATTGCCAATCTTTCAAAGTGTGTGTGTGTGTGTGTGTGTGTGTGTGTGTGTGTGTTGCACTATAATCTGAGAAACACTAAAACTCACTGTCTAGGATGGTGATCTCTTTCTTCCTATACTCGACTTGGGAGACATGGTTCAGGTCAAATGGCTCTAGCTCCTAAGAGATGATCCCTAAATATGCAACTAGCTTCTTTCTCCTGAATGTCAAGTCATACAACCAAATAAAACCAAGTAAACATCTCCCTGAATGTTACAAGGATGCCTCAGGTAACCTGTTAGTAGCCCTACTCCTCACCATTGCAATTCTTGTCTACCGTGCCTAGCAGTGATTCAATAAAAGGTCCCACTTCCACCTGTCGACTCAAACCTGGAGACAAGCTATCCCTATTCTCTCTTTTATTTAATTCCAGTGTTCAGTCAACAGCCATTCCCTGTGAATTTCTCTCGTATGTCTTAAGATGGTCATTGATCTTAAACCCTCCCCAAAGTTTTACATGGATTATATTTTTAAAATGGCTCTCCTTCACTGAGTTCAGTGCTACCTACCAGGAGAAAAATTAGCTAGCCTACATGAAGTGTGACTTAAATTGGTTAAGTACTTTACACTTTTGTGCAGAGTACCTTGAGTCCCATACCAGGTTAATAGGTAAACTCAGCAAGTGTTCTGCATCATTGTGCCTGCTAAATAGGTGACTAGATATTTTTCATATGGAAGCTGGCTCTGCCAGCTTTCTGACTCTATCCATTGATGATTTCAAAGCTAAAGTGATCTAAGATACAAACCTGATTTTATATTTCCCTTAAACATCTCCCAACTTCTCAACTCAATAAAAATTTGTCAGAATTATTCTTTATGATCGCACTGCTGATTTCCTCTCTTCTCCAGCCTTGTCTTCCAATACCACCCTTGTATTCAGCATTGGAATCACATGAGTTATTGGTGGTTCTGAGTACAGCTCATTGTTTTTCTGGTCTTTCTATGTGTGTTTTCTTCCTATTCTGCTCCCCAATTCAAATTTCTCCCTCTCCTGATCCTCAATCTATTTTCATGTCTTCTAAAACTCAGTTCAGACTGGATGGTCCTTGTAAATGCGAGTATCTAACCATATTTATTGATCTCAGCACCAGTATTGAGATGGTTGATCAGTTTGCTTCTTTTCTCCTCTCACTCCTTTGTCTACACCACCAGGGACAGATCATTTCCGATGCTTGGTGTTTGACATTTGACACGTATATGCATGCAACCCTCAAAAAGATCCTTAAGCGGCATTAAAGCTGGAAATCTTTATGATATGTCATCTAAATGGCACTCAATATATTCACAAATCAAACTCCCCACTGAAAAGGAAATATAACAGGTTAAAGCTATGGTATCATCATTATCACCATCATCACCTTGAGCTCTAGCGGTAGCTGTCTCACTACAGAAAACACAAGAATTCCTAGGTTTCAGAATCATGTCTGTCTCGCTTAAATATTTTCACCTTAACTTTGGATTAAGCAGTACTTGGACTGTAAGGTCGTTTCAGGGGCCAGAATGAAACATAAAACCAGATACTTAAACGTTTGTAATTTAATGTCTAATTTGCATAACTGAAGGATCATTGCTTTGCTAAATAATTACCTTTAAATAATGAGCTTCTTTAGCATAGTTAAGAGTGCATTTATAGGTCCTTAAATACTTGGCACACAAGAAACACATACTTTATACTACTAATTTTCCAATAAAAATAAATCAATGATGGAATTAAACACATCTGTAATTATAAATCAATGGACAAGCAAAGTTTCCTTGCAAAAGAATTGCATTCTTCTCACGTGGTATAAAATATAACAAACCTGAATTTTATTGTGCACATTCCTCTGTGACATCTATCTTAATTTTTGTAGCCCTGTAATTAGGAACATTTCTATTCTTTGTGTGTTTCCTGGTTGACTTCTGGGATACATATTTCTTAATAGTTGTAAGTTTAGATAGCAAAGTCAATTTTCTGGTTTTACTATACAGAAGCCCTGGAGTGGTTTAGTTTTCTGCAATTTATTACATGGAAGCTTTTCCTGCAAGTTTGCTGCCTCTTGCAAATCTAACTGTAATTCAAGGTCCAACTCATGTACCCTCAAGTAAGTGAACATTTCCTCAGTCAAACAGCCATAAAAGATGTCTCTATGTTCCAAATTTCTGCAA